AAGAAACTGATCCCATTCACAATTGCACCAAGAAGCATAAAATACCTAGGAATAAGCCTAATCAAAGATGTAAAAGATCTGTATGCTGAAAACTATAGAAAGCTTATGAAGGAAATTGAAGAAGATACAAAGAAATGGAAAACATTCTGTGCTCATGGATTGGAAGAATAAATATTGTCAAAATGTCAGTACTACCCAAAGCTATCTACACATTCAATGCAACCCCAATCAAAATTGCACCAGCATTCTTCTCGAACCTAGAATAAGCAATCCTAAAATTCATATGGAACCACAAAAGGCCCCAAATAGCCAAAGTAATATTGAAGAAGGAGACCAAAGCGGGAGGCATCACAATCCCAGACTTTAGCCTCTACTACAAAGCTGTCATCATCAAGACAGCATGGTATTGGCACAAAAACAGACACAGAGACCAATGGAATAGAACAGAGACTCCAGAATTGGACCCACAAAACTTTGGCCAGCTAATCTTTGACAAAGCAGGAAAGAATGTCCAATGGAAAAAAGACATCTCTTTAACAAATGGTGCTGGGAGAACTGGACAGCAACATGCAGAAGAATGAAACTAGACCACTTTCTTACACCATTCTTTTTGTCTTTTAACTTTTATATTGGAGTTAAGAGTGATTTATACAGACCCATTACAGTATTAGAGTATTCTATATTTGTGTATATATTTAGCTTTTCTGGTGAGTTTATACTTTCATATGCTTTTGTGTTTTTGTTTTGTGTCCTTTCATTTCAACTTGCAGAACTCTCCAGCATTTTTTATGAGGCAGGTCTGATGATGATGAACTCACTCGACTTTCATTTGTCTGGAGAAGTCTTTATTTTTCTTTCATTTCCAAAGGACATTTTTTGCTGGGTATATTATTGGTTGACTGTTTTTTGTTCTTTCGGTAATTTTGCATATATCAATATTTCATTACACTGATGTACTACAAGTTAGTTAATGGGTCCCTGTTGGGTACGTGACTTGTTTCCAATCTTTTGCTTTTATATAACTGCATAAATACAGCATTTTTTATGCAGGTATGTTGATAGCATTAATTCCCAGAAAGGGGGATTATGAGATTCAAGGATCAATGTGATTGTAATGTTGAAAAATCTGGTCAAATTAATGCCAACTAGTTTTTTTTTTTTTTTTCAGTAAATTGTAACATTATTGGAACTTTAAACACAGCGTTTAGTTTCCACTCTACAAGACAAAGGGAACAAAGAAAGGATAAGCAGAAGTCAAAGGCCCATAAAATCAGAAGGTCTAGAACAATGACAATGTAAACCTAAACATATGTGTAATCACAATAAATTGCTAACAGGGTTAATGCTGCAAAGGCTCTTAGATTGGGTTTCCAAATAAAACCTAATGATATACAATTACACGAGACATTGCTGGAATAGAATTATACAGAAAGTTGTAAAAATTGGACAAAAGTATATTAGGTAGAAGAAAACAAAATAACCAAGAGTCATAATAGTAAAATCAGACAAGATAGATTTAAGACCCTAAAAAAGGATAAAAAGACATCCATTTAAAAAAAAAAGAAAGTAAAATCCACAGTAAAGTGGAGGCAACATGAACTGTCATGTGCTGGATAAGATAGAATACATAACAACAAAAATGGGGAAAACATAAAAAATGTGGTAAACATAGTAGACGGGAGCGCTTTTTCTGGACGTGAGCTCTCAAGGAGAAGCAGGTTAATAAGGACACATACTAAAAGAAGATAATAAAATTTCATTCTTGTAAATATTTGAACTTTACACCCTAAAAAGAAATAGCATACTTTCTTTTCAAGTATGCATAGAACATTTGCAAAAAAAAAAAAAAAAAAAAAAAAAAAAAAAAAACGAAATGATTGTGTTAGGCCATAAATGTGCCTTAGAGATTTCAAGAAACCGTTGTACAGATTACCTTTTCTTTTTTTTTTAATTTTTTTTAATGTTTATCTATTTTTGACAGAGAGAGAGAGCGCGCGCGCGCACACACACACACATACATATGAGCAGGGGAGGGGCAGAGAGAGAGGGAGACACAGAATCCGAAGCAGGCTCCAGGCTCCGAGCCGTCAGCACAGAGCCCGACACGGGGCTCAATCCCACGAACCGTGAGATCATGAGCTGAAGTTGGGCGCTTAACCGACTGAGCCGCCCAGGCGCCCCTCCCTAAAGATTTCATATTTTTTTTCTAAAGTAGGAGCATTTTGTTGGCTGCGTGCAGCAAACAACTTAAAGATTCACATTAGTATTTTTGTTTTCCGGAGACTCCTCTGTGTTAACCCACCCCTGGGAATGTCTCTGTCTCTACCTCCAGCTCCACCAACCCCTCTTCTCCCACCACCCCACTCACCGTCACATTTCTTTCCTTTCCTGATACAGAGCAATCCTGCCCTCTTTGGCTCCCATTGAGTCGCATCCATAAACCAGTCAGGTACACAGTAGCCCAAAGCCCTTTGCTTTAGCAGGACCCCCTCCCTGCCGTGGAGGAGCTCCAGACCTAGAAATAAATAGCCATCTCTCGTACTTTATGTAATTCACCCCGTTCGCTGCCGTGCGGTCAGAATGCTAAACAGTATCTGTCCTGTGGTTCTGTGGCCCTATTCTTAAAGGAATTTGCTTTTTGTCATATTTGTTTTTATTCCAAAGGTGTCCCTCAGCCTAATATAACTTGGTTGAAGAGAGGAGGACCTCTGAGTGACAATATTTCCTTGCTTTTCAATGGATCCCTGTTGTTGCAGAACGTTTCCCTTGAAAATGAAGGAACCTATGTCTGCACAGCCACCAATGCTCTAGGAAAAGCTACGGCAGCATCTACACTCCACCTGCTGGGTAAGTGTCGGGTGCTTCCGGTTCAAGTGCTTCCTGTCATACGTACAGAGCAGGACCCGGTTTCTTCCGTCCTGGAGTCGCGGAGTAAACGGGATGGACGTTAAGTGGTTGTAACCCTGGCTTTGCCTCCGCCCGCTCACACGCTGCGCACTGCATCTGGCACTTTGTCTTACCAGGTCTTCTCTTAGAAGGCTGTCACTTTCCTGCTGCTACTTCCGTGGCACACAGTTTTCTGCCCAGAATCCAGACCTTTTGTGTTCTGCCTGTGTATTTGCTCATCTGCTGACCCGACCCCCCTTCCAGGCCAGCAGCGAGCTCTGTTCCAGTCGGTGTGGTTTCCTGCGCCATGATCCCATGGAACCCCCCACCCACATGTGGTTTCCCTGGAAGTACGGCTTCCAGGAGCGCTGCTCTCCCAGGAAGAGGTGTCCGTCACTGCCTTTGTCACTGGATACATGCAGGGCCAACTTCTGTCACTTACACAGGGATTCCTGTCTCCTGTGTGACTCTGATTTCATTTGACCTCTTTTGCCTGGTCTTACCGTTTGGTATCTGATTGAGTCCTAACACACGTTGCTCTCCAACTGTTTCCTCTTTCATTTACGTTTCCTCAATTAAATTGCAGGTCCTTTCATGATAGAGACCATGTCTGATATCTTATCTTTGCAGCCCTGAGGATATAATATAGTCTGGGGGCGCACAGTAGGTTCTCAGTAAATACAGATCACTTGAGTCTTAAGACACCTTACCATTGGGTGCATGTTGTAATTTGGAGATGCTCATCACAACGCGCCCCTCGACACAGGATGACAATTGGGGATGATATCTGGAGTTCATTCCCTTCCCCTGCGTTCATCTCTTTTGTTTCTCAAATCCCACATGGGAGTTGAATCGTGGTATTTGTCTTTCTCTGACCGACTTATTTCGCTCAGCATAATACACGTTGTTGCAAATGGCATGATTTCATTCTTTTTGATCCCCGAGTAACGGAAGGAAAAATAAGATACAGACAGAGGGGGAGGCAAACCATAAGAGACCTTTAAATTTTTTTTTTAACGTTTATTTATTTTTGAGACAGAGAGAGACAGAGCATGAACAGGGGAGGGTCAGAGAGAGAGGGAGACACAGAATCGGAAACAGGCTCCAGGCTCTGAGCGGTCAGCACAGAGCCCGACACGGGGCTCGAACTCACGGACCGTGAGATCATGACCTGAGCTGAAGTCGGCCGCTCAACTGACTGAGCCACCCAGGCGCCCCCATAAGAGACCTTTAAACACAGAGAACAAACGGAGGGCTGCTGGAGAGGAGGTGGGTGGGGGATGAGCTAGATGGGGGATGGGCAATGAGGAGGGCACTTGTTGGGAGGAGCACTGGGTGTTGGATGGAAACGAGGAGTCCCTGGGTTCTTCTCCCGAAACAAATACTACACTGTATGTCATCTAATTTGAGTTTAAATAAATAAATTAAAA